AGTGTTTAATGGTAGTTGAACAAGGTTTTTCTCATTCAGAAAATTTTAATCTTGTCCCTGAGTAAAAAAAATCACAATAAAACTTTACCACCGCTAAACTGTTGAACTGCTGTGTGGTAGGGCAAGTCAGGTTATTAGGTTTCTATTTCTGACAGAAAATTTGTGGAACTGTTGATGGCAAAGCCCATGACAGTGAATGAAGTTCACTGTTGACCCTACCATTTCAATAACTCATGATAGATTCCAATATTTTTTACAAAGTACCTACTAATGAATAATACAATAAATAACTATAGGTTTATATTTTCATATAACCTTAGATTTTCACATGCTTTGTAAATGTGGCTCCTTAAGCCTTTTTCTTATCCACACATATTCTAAACATGATCACTTGTAAAAATCTTAGCAGATTCTACTTCAGGTTGTACTGAATTAGTATTTTCTCAACTTATTTGAAAATATCCTCTACTGTAGTTGTTCTACATAGACAATTCATAGAGCCTAATTCTTTAGTCACTTCAAACTCAGCATTGACTCCTTTAATAAACAACGACTTAGCAGTATCCATAATGTCTGTGAGCTCATCAAGACTCAAGGGCGGGGGAGGGAGGCCAAGGGCAACATACATAACCTAAACATCTGTACCCCCATAATATGCTGGAAAAAAAAAAAAAGACTCAAGGAGGACCACTGGGCCACAGGACTGTTACATTGCTCTCACTGTCCTCAGCTCTTTAGGCAGCTAATCCTGTCAAAAGGCTAATGGTCTTAAGCAAGTTTATTTTCTTTTAGACGTATAGTTTTGGCTGCTGAAGTCAACACAATTTAATTAGCTCACCATTGGAGAACAGCTTTCCCTGCTTGGGTAACAAATGAGCCACTTTAAAACATACTTTAGGCCAGGCACAATGAATGGCTCATACCTGTAATCCTAGCATTCTGGGAGGCCGAGGTGGGAGGATCACTTGAGGTCAGGAGTTCAAGACCAGCCTGAGCAAGAGCAAGACCCTGTTTCTACCAAAAATAGAAAACATTAGCTGGGCATGGTGCTGGTGCTGTAAGCTAGACTAATGCCACGGCACTCTAGCCTGGGTGACAGAGCAAGACTCTGTCTCAAAAAAAGAAACATACTTTAGTGTAAGAGTCATTTTCATTTTTATGGCGTAATTTTGCTGTAATGAGATATTCCATTTTAGAGTTTCTCTTTCTTTTTTTTTTTTTTTTTGTCTTTCTTTTGCCTGTAAGGAAATGGAAGTGGATGAAGTTTCTCTTTCTATTTAAAATCTCTCTGACCATTATGTAAGTTGGGAATATTGTGATGAGTACTTGCTCTAGTAATGTTGACATAATGTTCTTTATGTTCTTTTAGCACAGCTATAGTATAGCTGCATAATGAACATGATCTCCATCTAATTCAGTAGCGCAATAACCCACACTCCACTGGTTCTTCAAAGCATGACATTCAAGGTCCACTTTTCTTCTCCTATTTTGACATATGGATAATAAAAACAGAATAGGCCGGGCGGGGTGGCTCACGCCTGTAATCCCAGCACTTTGGGAGGCCGAGGCAGGAGGATCACCTGAGGCTAGGATTTTGAGGTTGCAGAGAGCTATGATGACACCACTGCACTCTAGCAGCCTAGACGACAGAGCAAGACCATGTCTAAAAAAATAAGAAAATAAGAAAATGTCATAGTATGGTGCTGATCACCATCAAGTTATAGGTGCATCTTTGTGATTTTCAGGATCCCCAGCAGCAGTGTGAGCCTTAAGCACACCATCTCTGGTCTCTGTTGTGATGACTCAGTGCCCCTACTGTGTTGCAAAAGCAGCCACAGATGATACATGAGCAAATCTGCCCATATTCCAATAAAATGCTTCTAATGGACTCTGAAATATGAATCTCATATAATTTTCACATCACAAAATAATATTCAATGTATTATTTTTTTCCCACTATTAAAAAATAGAAAACCCATTCTTAGCTTACCAGCTATACAGAAACAGGTAGTGGGCTAAACTTAGCTGTGGTTTGCTAACCCCTGACTTAAAGTGAACTGCAGCCTTTTCATCATGGCTGGTCTGGAAGGCCCTATGGTCAGGCCCCTCTGCACCTCCGCCCAGCTCACTGCCTCAGCACAGGGGCCTCCTTTCTACCCCTTGGCCTTTCCCCTTGGTTCCCTCTACCTGGTCCCCTGTTTCCTCCACTCCCTTCTCCAACATCCCTCCCCAAGAGTTGTTCCTGTCTCCCTGGTGGCACTCCCTATTTCAGTCCCACAGCCACCTGAGGTTCTAGATTGTTCCTTGGCAGACGCCCTGGGACAGGAGCTCCATGGGAGTAGGAGGGTGTCTGCCACACACCTCATGTCCCTGCGCAGGCCCAGCACAGAGGTGATGCTCCAGCTCATCTGCACAGGTCTGGGGCAGAGGTGACAGGGCCCAGACACAGCCCTGGGTGCTGGTGGCTGGAGGCAGGACTGGAGAGGGAGCTTCAGTGTGCTGGGGACTCTGGAAGCTGTGATGCCATCTGAGTCCAGCAGGAGAAGCAACCTCTGGTGTCTTGGAGTCCACGGTGCTTCCAGGATGTTGAGGTGAAGGTGGCAGCCAGAGGGAAAGCAGTTTCTCACATGTCCCCCAGGAGGTGATATGGTGATATGTCTCCAGCTTGCGAGAAAGAGCCCTGCCCAGGCATAGGGGCAAAGCTGCAGTGAACACAGGGAGCCTGCAGGGTGGTTGATGGCTGCAACTGTGGGCAACACCAGGTTCCCTTGGCTCTCACACAGGGCCTCAGTTGTCTTTTGGTGACCAGTCAGAAACAGCAGGAGGGACGCAGCACTGATGACGTAGACGGAGGTGTCTTGTAGATGTGCTTGCATATGTCATTTTTCATATTTCCATTTTTCATATTTCATTTTGTTCCATAGCATAATTATGTGTTTGAGGATGTTGACCAGCAATCAACATGACATTTGCCATTCATTTATTCAACTTTTTAAAAAAACAATGACATTAGACATTTTTATTAGAGAAGCAATCACATTAGTTGTAGGAAATACATACAATTTCATAGAAGAAAATAAACACCTCACTACTTAGTGCCATCTATTACAGGCTGAACATATCTAGTCCAAACTCCAAAATGCTCCAAAACCTGAAAATTTTTGAGCCCTAACTTGACGTCACAAGCAAAAAATTCCACACCTGTCCTCATGCGATGGGTCACAGTCAAAATGATGTTTTATGCACAAAATTATTTAAAATATTATATAAATTACCTTGAGGCTATGTGTGTAAGATGTATAAGAGACATAAATGAATTTTGTATTTAGACTTGGGTCCCATCCCCAAGATAGCTTATTATCTATGTACAAATATTTCAAACTCTGAAAAAACCTGAAATCTGAAACACTTCTGATCCCAAGCATTTTCAGTAAGGAATACTGAACCTGTATTGATTTTGTGGCATATACCCTTGCAGTTTTTAAAAATATTCTACAACATTCCAGCAACTGCATTGTATTTCTTGGTATGAACAGTGTCCTCACCCAGTGCCTGAGGTTAGACACATGATTCGTCTCCAGTCTTCTTGCTTTGTACAAAGTTTTTAATTCTTGTTTACCAACTTCTTATATATATTTGGATTAATATTTGGGCTTTCTGTTGTATTCCAGGATCTATTCCTCTACCACTACCACATTGTTTTAATTATGTAGCTTTGTATTACTGTTTATATCGAGTGATACAAATGATTTCATCTCCCATTATCCTTTCTCAATTTTTCATAGCAATTTTTACATAGTTTTTTGGGGAGGGTGAACTTTCTAAACATAAATTTTTATTAGAATTATATTCAATTTATTAACTCATTTAGAAATAAATTATCTTTATGTTTATGGTTTTCCCATTTACCATTATGTGTTTCTCTGTTATATATTCAAGTCTTCCTTTATCTTAATAAAACTTTATAGTTTTATTCATATTGATCTAACATATTTCTTGTTAATTTATGCCTAGGACTTTGTTTCATTTTTGTCATTGTTGCCATTTGAAGGTGAATTTGGGTTCTGAGTAGTTGCTGCTGATACACAGAAAGCTTACTGATGTCTTGGTTACTAAGTGAAGACTACACTACCAGTATCCCCTAGTACTAATAGTAGTTTTTCAGTTGATTCTTTTAGTTTTTCTAAGCTGACAGCTAATGATAATTTTTTTTATCTTTTTTTGAGATATTTAAATCTCTTGCTTTTTTTTCTTGTCTTATTGCATTGACTGGCACCTCTAAAACTGTATTACATAATAGTGGTGAGAATAAATCTTACACCAACCGTAACGAATATGCTTTCAGCCTTCTGCTACTGAGTATTATGAAGGCCTTGAGTTTAATATGGATATTCTTGAACGGGTTAAGCAAATTTCTTCTACTTCTGAACTACTAAGTTTTGAAAATCATGAATACGTATTGATTTGACGTACATGCCTTTTGAATATCTGTCAAGATGATCGCCCACTCAGTTGTTCATTTCACAGATATTGTTGAGTGCCTGTGGTGTTCCAAGCCCTAATGTCAGAAGCTGCAGTCTCCATAAGGGTATTTCTGACCATGCTTCCTTCTCAGGTCATCTCTCACATCTGGTTGAAGCTGTGATTCTCACTGACCCCATCACTGTGCCCTTTGAACAGTAGCCCTAGGTCCAATGGTTCAAGCTCTGAAATTCCAGGACAGGGGCAGTTGGTGTCCCAGCCTGTCCCACAGCCTCTGGATGGGCCACAGTGGGGCTGTCCCTGTCAGAAGGAGGCAGGCTGAGGACAGAAGAAATATCCATTTGGACTGATGAAGGAACAGCTTTGTGCACTGGAGCCAGGATTGGGTCATTACTAGGAAACTGAAGCAGCAGCACCAACATTCTTATGTCAGGGGAAAGCCAGTTATTTTAATTGTACCATATTTTTTAAATTATTGCATTTATGTTCATGTCTTTTTTTGTTTTGCTGTATTTCAGTTCTTCACCACCAGCAGTGTTCCTTGAGAAGGACTATGAAATTTACCGGGATTACAGTGCTGATGGCCAGCTTCTTCACTACAGGTAGAACCTGCTATCTCAGGCATGGCCCATCTGCTGATATGAGCGTGGTTTTCTTAATGCGTCGGGTGTGTGTTAACTGGAGACCAGTCTGGCTCAGCAGGAAGCAGCTAGCAGGTGGGGCCCAGCACAGCTGCCTCCACCAGAGTGCTGGGAAAGTCTGGAAGCTGCAGGCTTCTGGGGCCTGGACAGAGGCCACTGAGAACTGTGCCCAGACCCATAGGCATATCCCATCTTGGAAGAACCTTGCCACTGCCTAGTTTAGGCAGCTGTGGAGCCCATGGCACTTCCCTCAGCCCCTGGTAGAGGAGCAAGGTCTTAGAGGATCCTCAGCGTGTGGTCCTCCCTAGGCAGCACTTTCCAGGCCCAGTCTGGAGCATCAATGTTAGTTGTAGGGAAGAGGGGGTGGCCTTTAGCCTCTCTCAGCCCTGGGGCAGCCTTATGGAGCATTGAACTGTTCCAGAGACCACCCTCAGGACAGTGGCACCTTCACACTGGGTAGGTAGGGTCCTGCCTTGGCCTCCTGATACAGCCAAGCAGTCGCCTGGACTTCTCTTTCCTTGCCTTAGTGACCAGTTTCCTGTGGGGAATACAGGGCTCAGGACAGAGTGTGTTTTTTTGGTTTCTTTTCTTTTCTTTTTTTTTGAGACAGAGTCTTGCTGTGTTGCCCAGGCTGGTCACCAACTCCTGGGCTAAAGTGATCCTCCCATCTCAGCCTCCCAAGTAGGTAGGACTACAGATGCTCACCACTGTACTCAGCTTAGGGCGCTATTTCTGTGGGTGGCCTGGGTGTCCCCAGTGTGGGCCACCCAGGAGCAATGTCATGACTGAGGAGAAATTAGAAGACCTGAGCAGGCTTTGGCTGTTTGCCCAGTTGAACAACTGAAGTATGGCAGCATAACTAGGTTTGTTTGAGTTTATATTTGCTAAACACCAGGCTGTGGAAGGAATTCGAGACCACCCTGCTCCCAGCAGTGTGGCTATCTGATCATGGCCACGTTTCAGAGTCTTCCTGTTCTTCCGTGTCCCCATCAGTGAGACAGGCCAGGGCAGCAGCTGACTCGGTGGTTCCCCTGAACTGACCAAGCTTGTAGAGGAGCCATCCTCACTGCAGATCAGGTTGTGGCTTTGGTCACCAGACATTTGTTTCCCTGTGGACTGAGCAGCACTCTAGCAGACCGGGGTAGCTGCACCCTTTGTGGCGCATATGTCCACCTGGTTTTTGGTGGACAACAATGCCACCCCCAGGGTGCCATTGCCCCCCAAAGCCAAGGTTCACTGGTGGTATCTCCGACATCCTCTACAGGCTTCGGGAAAGCAGGTACACCATGCCACTGCAGGTGTCAGGTGGAGTGAAGAGGGTCTTCTGGGCCTTCCTGGCTATATTGTGGGTGGGTGGCAGGTCCAGAGCTGAGCCCACCCCAGCGTCCTGCCTCCCTCACCCCTCTCAGGCCACTCTGGTAGCTCAGTCTCCTTTGGCCCCATGGAGCCATCTCCACCCACACAAGCTGACTCACCAGGTCCTGGTCTCCACCAAGGTCCAAGGATCTTCTTTGAGGTCCCTGCACCCCTCTGCCACCCGGTGGCTGCACTTGCTACAGCTGCTGCCTTGTTGTGTGTTCTGCCCCTCTGAGCACTCACTGCCTTGCACCTTGCTGATGATTCCATTTGAGGATCCCATTGGGACTACTGGTGCATCAGTCTGTTGACAGTGTGAGCGGCTGCATTTCTGGGTTGTCAGCTGAGGATTGGAGATGGAGACCACAAGCCCACACTGAGCTCTGTGGGACCTCTGTATCCTGGGACTTAGTTGGTGGCAGAGGACATGCCACCTTGTCAGCTAGCCCAGTGTGTCTGCTATGAGCGCCACCCCAGCCTGAAGGATGCTTCCTGCCTTTGGCCAGTGTGGTCTGTTCTAGTCCAGTGACTTGGTTGGGGGCTACTCTGTGCCAGGCAGCTCAGCCACCTTCCCACCCCTCAATCTGCTGCTGTTGTCCTCGTCACTAAGACCATGGGGCTGAGGTCCGGGGATGTCTGGAGGAAGAGGCTGGGTCCGTAGGAGGGGTGCCAGGTGGGGTGCAAGAGCAAGGCACTCACCTCAGTGGGGTCTCTGCGTCCTAGGTTGACACATATATTTTTAACAGGGAGGATGGAGCAGGTGAGGGAGGTACATGGTCAGACCCCATCCTGACTCGTTCTCAATCCTTTTTGCTGAGAATCTGTAACCTCCATGTGTTCTCACGGTGAACAGAGGTGGGACTTGCACTCCCCAAATCATCAATTGCTTGAAAGCAGGCCTGTGTGTGCCCAACTGAATCTGCCAGGCAAGTTCTTATCATCCAAGTCTCATGATCTATGGCTTCTGGAAAGGGAAGTTTTTTTTTCCCTGGGGGGTCTTAGTGAGAGGGCCCACTGCATAGCTTGGGTAGAGCCAAGCACAGTTACAGAAGGTGACGACATCCCTGGGGCAGAGTGCTGTGCGTGCCAGGGTCCCATGCAGAGCTCCTCTTGAGGCAGCACCTGGCTGGACTCCCACCAGGGGCTGCCAGGTATGATGCCACCGCCTTACAAGTGCTTCCCAAAAGTGAGGGAGGGAGCTGGTGCCCAGCCCCACCCCTGTCCCACTGGCCTACAGGAAGGGACCAGAGCCAGCCAGGGCCTGCTGGGCTCTGGAGGCCTGGATGGCCACTCCACGCCCCGGGCATGCCTGGCACTTCCTTTCACAAGCCATCCTCAGTGTAGAAGATCAGCACGATGTCATGTGGGGTGGCAGGAAATAAAACCCCTGTGAGATCAATTGTAAAAGAAAGCCAGGAGTGGATGCAGTCCGGGGATGCAACAAAGGCTGCCCCAGCCAGTCAAGCAAATGGCTTCTAGTGCTCTCTGCTCATTGGGATAAAAAAAAAAGTGCCAGCTTGATACCAGCACCTAGGAGTTCAAATGAAGAGATTACATCTAGATCAGCAGCCGGAAATGGAGTTGCCTGAGTTCACTCTCCCTGCGATTCTCCAGGACCTTCCCAGGTCATAGTCACCACCCTGGTGTTTTCACATCTTGCACGGTGCCGTCTTTGTGATTCTGCCCGTGGGCACAGATGGGCTTTGGGTTTCTTGTTGTGGTGGAGAGCGGAAGTTCCAGATGTAGAGCTCCCGTAGTGACATCTCATGCCCCAAGTAGGGGCAGCACTGGGGATAGAGGGTCAGTGTATTTGAGAAATATTTAGAAGGTGAAGTTGGCAAGATGTGGGGACAGTGTGAGGGAGACAAGCAGGCCAACACCCAGTGCTCTAACCAGATGTCCATGGGGTCCCACCCAGGAGCAAGGGCAGGCCTGCATGCCGGGACGTCAGCAGCAGCTCATAGCTTTAGGATTAGGTGCATTCACCCAGCCAGGGCAGGATGCACAGGGGAAGCTGACCTCCACAGACAAACCTGAGGATGGGGTCTTCATGGAGGAGGAGATTCAGGAGGAAGCCTGTCCAGGACCAGCCATGTCCCAACGACTGCTAGAGGCCCCTGGTCAGGGATGGCAGTGAGGACTTAGGGTGACCTAAGCACTAGGAAGGAAAATTGTTTTTCAAACATAATTTCAGACATATGGCTGCTTCTGGTTCTGTGTGAGCGTAATTGTATCTGCACTTACCAATTTTGGTGCAGAGGTTTTCTTCTGAAACCCGCACCCTGTTCCCCTTGTTCTTAGGCATCCCCGTACAGCTGCAGAGACGCACTCTGGCTTTGGTGTTGTTCTGGTTTTGGTTTTGTGCAGTGTACTCAATTCTTCCTTTGAAAATAGGCCCTGGGAGAAATGGCCTGCAGAGCTCTGAGCTGAATCAAGCCATTGTCCCTACCCGGCCTGCCTGACTTCTAGCATGTCCAGGTTTTCCAGCTTCCCTTGTGGTTTGAAAATGTCTACTGAACACCCTGTATTGGGGGTGGCTGATTCCATTTCATTTAGAGATGGGGAGAAGGTCTCCTGCCCTAGTGCCTCCATCCTACAGAGCTCTGGTACAGGAGTTAGGGAAGGGATGAGGAGGAGATGTTCGGGTTTGGGGAGTGTGAGGAAAGAGAGCTCCGGGTCCTACTTGCCCCTGGAGAGATGGAACGACCTGTGCTCAGGAGGAGGGCCTGGAAGGCTAGCTAGGGAGCCCGGGCTGGGTGGAGCGGGCAGACACATCCCAGGAGGAAGCATGGCAGGCAGCTGAAGGCACAGAGCCATTGGGGCTGCCCAGGGGCCCCAGGGGTAGGGGGTGGCAAGCTCAGCCAACAGACAAGAATGACAGTGGGCAGGGCCTGGGCCTGGATGTGAGGCCTGGGGAGCTGAGATGGGCAGGGCAGTGAGGTTGGGGGAACACAGGTGTGAGCTGCAGAAAGGTCTGGCAGGGCTCAGGGGCTACCCTGCCTGGACTGTGGAAGGGTGAGTGAGGCAGGTTGGTGAGAGAGACCTCAGAAGACAGGCTGGGCATCCGTGGGCTGTGGTCTCTGGGCCTCTTGATGCACCCCCATCTGTGACATGGAGCCCATGACTCGGGTGCTCTGCATGGGCCTTGGGCCTACTTTGAGGAGGTGCTTGGCACATGGACCTGCAGCCAAGCGGGCCTCCCCTCCTCATGGTCTGCATGGCCCGTTTCCTCCCTCTTCTGCCCTGACTGGGCCAACCACTCTCAGTTCCCGGAATAGAGTGTGTTATCTGACCAGCAAGCCTTTCAGTGACACTCACCCCCGCCCTCCTTGCATCCCATGGCTTCTCGTTCTAACTCAGGGACCCCGGCTGACAGCTGGGGAGGTGCCTCCTCAGGCCACAGCCTTGTACCTGTGGGTGAGTGTCGGCTGCACCCTACACCCAGCCCAGCACGGGGGCTAAGGCAATATCTATTGAGTGGTAAATAGAGGCACAGATGTGCAAAAATAAAGGTTCACATTTACTGAGTGTTTTCTGTGTGTCCTGAGCTAAGGACTTTATCATACACACATTGTGTTGTTGAATCTTCATAATAACTGATGAGGAAACTGAGACAGAAAGATGTTGGATGAAACCTAAGCCTGTAGCAGGAAGCGACAGGTGGTGTTCAGTCCCAGATCTCTTGGGCTCCAGAGCCTTTCACACCATGTCTCCCCAGACAGTGGAGGGGTTGACGCTGCAGCCAGCCCTCGGGGAACTGGCTCCACTGTCCCTTTCACCTGGCTGGCCCCTGGTGGCAGATACGAGCAGCCTCTAGCAGCCAAGAGGAGAAATCCCAGGAACAAGCACCCTGGCCATGCCTCACCCACTGCCCAGGTGATGAGGAGTTGTAGCCTCGTCCAGAGAGATCCAGCATCAGTCAGGGACAGAAGCAGCAGGACCAGACTGCCCGTCTGGCTTGTTGAGATGTACAGGATTTCCAGTGGACAGACTTATTGGAGACCAGCCTCCACACTCGAAAACAGTTGGACAAGCTAAACAGAACATATACAGTCACTCTGAAGTCCTCAGAGATCTTGCCTGGCCTGGAGATTTGTGCCCCTGGCACATATGTGATGCTGGCCCTGAGGATGATCCGAGAGGCTGAGCAGCTGAGTGGGCCTTGGGGGATTCCTCCAGGCTGGAAGGCCAAACATTCAGTGTTTAGAAACTACCAAAGAGCAGCCCCAGCTCACAGTCTGTGCTTATACTCCTGAAGGACTACACCTAGGAACAAGGTGAGCCGTAATTAGACCAGCCCTCAAGGCATGAGCACGGCATACAGTCACCTCAGCCTCAGACAGAGTTTGGGTGATCTGCCCGTACTCTAACTGCCTGCCAGAAACAAGTAAATGCAAAGCCCAAAGTATCTCTATAATTTTTCATACATAATGACCAAAATTTCAGTCTAAATTTATCGGAATTTATTAAAAATCGAAACAGACCCACAGATCTACATTTTGGAGTTATCAGACACAGACTGTAATTAATATGATTTATAGACACAAAATATTAAATGGCAATTAAAAATAATCAAATTGGTATCGAAAACTGAAAAATACAACAAAAACTAAGAAATCAATAGATGGATACGTGGTCTGAATGTTTGTGTCCCCCCACCCCCGCCCTGCTGCAAATTCACATGCTGAAATTCCAACCACCAAGGTGATGGTATTAGAGGATACAGCCTTTGGGGGATGGTTAGGTCATGAGGACAGATTGAGGGATTAATGGGACTAATGAATGGGATTAGTGTCCTTATAAAAAGCAGCATGAGAGAGACCTCTCACCCCTTCCACCATGTGAGGACACAGTATCAAGGGACCATCTATGAACCAGAAAACAGGCCCTCACCAGACACCAGATCTGCTGGCACCTGAATCTAGGACTTCCCAGCCTCTAGAACTGTGAGAAATAAATTCCTGTTGTTTTTAAACTACCTAGTTTCAATGAGCCAGTGAGGCTCAAAAGAGGCCCAACAACTAGTGCGATCCCCATTGGGTGGAAGGTCTGGCATTCAGACAGTGCAGCCCTCGGGGATTGTGGGTGCCCTTAGCCTGACATGGGTGTTGGTGGGAGCTAGAGGGACAATGTTGTTTGGGTCCAGGTGAAAGTGGTAACTTGGGACAGAGTCAGGAGAGAATGGTCAGTCGTCTTAAAGCTCACCGGAGCCTCTGGCTGAAAATGGAGCCCTGAGATGCTAGTGCTGTACTCTGCTGGGCTCACCTGGACTCCTGGGGCCATTGGTGGTTGACCCCACTGCTGGTAGGAGCACAGGCAGGCCTTGGGTCCAGGAGTAAATCCTGTAGCAGGGCTCAGTGCACAGCTTAGGAAAGATGCACATGGAATCCAGAGGCAAGAGATCCCTGGCAGGGCTGCCGGTCCTCAGTTACAGAAGCAGCTGTGTGCCTAGTGCTGGGCTGGAGACAGGAGCGGGCATGTCATGGGGGCAGCAGCCATTTCGGAGAGCCTTGGAGGGGAGGGCTGTGGGCTGGGCAGTGCATGAGGGGCAGCTGCTCCAGGCAGCAAGGACTGAGAAACGGCACACAGATGGTTCCCAGGGAAGCAGGGTGGGGAGGATGCTGTGGGCCCATGCTCCCTGACTTCCCCTGAGTAACCATGCCTGTCCACTCCCCACACAGGACCTCCTCGCTCCGGTGGAACTCAGGCACCAAGGAGCGTGTGCTCATCAAGGTGGCTGACCGTGAGCCCAGCTTCCTTGCCCCCCAGGGCAATGGCTGCCCCCCAGACAGCCAACCTGGGGGCCGCTCCCGCAGACCCTCTGGCAGCCAGCACTCGCCCAGCCTGCAGACCTTCTCCCCAGAGGCCGATGGCACCATCTTCTTCCCAGAGAGGAGGCCATCCCCCTTCCTAAAGAGGGCCGAGCTCCCCGGGAGCTGTTCCCCGCTGCTGGCCCAGCCCCGAAAACCCTCCAGTGACTCGCAGCCCTCCTCCCCACGCTACGGCTATGAGCCGCCCCTCTACGAGGAGCCCCCAGTGGAATACCAGGCTCCCATCTATGACGAGCCCCCCATGGACGTGCAGTATGAGGCCAGTGGAAGCTTCCAGGCCAGCTCGCCCCAGAGGTCGCCGGGACGCAAGCCCCGCGCCTTCCTGCCATCGTCCAAGCAGGCGCCCCCCTCACCCTGCCAGCAGCTAGTGCTGACCAAACAGAAGTGCCCGGAGCGCTTCATGAGCCTGGAATACAGCCCCGCAGGCAAGGAGTATGTGCGGCAACTGGTGTATGTGGAGCAGGCGGGCTCCAGCCCCAAGCTGCGTGCCGGCCCCCGGCACAAGTACACACCCAACCCTGGGGGCGGCTCCTACTCCCTGCAGCCCAGCCCCTGCCTGCTGAGGGACCAGCGACTGGGCGTCAAGTCCGGAGACTATAGCACCATGGAGGGGCCCGAGCTCCGGCCTGGCCCAGTGCACACACCACTGCCGCAGGCCCAGGAGGACACCATGTCCTGGTCCAGCCAGCAGGACACCATGTCATCCACTGGCTACTCCCCAGGCACGCGCAAGAGGAAGAGCAGAAAGCCCTCTCTGTGCCAGGCCCCTAACACCCCTGCCACCGATGGCCCAGGGGACCTGCTCCGTGAGCAGCCCCTGGCAGAGGAACGGCCCCCCTGTGGGCCCAGCCTCGCCCCAGTGAAGCTCGCAGAGGGCGAGGCAGATGGACTGCGGGGCACTGCCGAGCCCTTCCTGGCACAAGCGCGGCTGGCCTGGGAGGCACAGCAGGTCCACTTCCACATGAAGCAGAGGAGCAGCTGGGATTCCCAGCAGGACGGCTCGGGCTATGAGAGCGACGGCGCCTTGCCGTTGCCCATGCCTGGGCCTGTGGTGCGCGCCTTCAGCGAGGACGAGGCCCTGGCCCAGCAGGAGAGCAGGCACTGGAAGAGGAGCACCTTCGAGAAGCTCGGCTTCCCACAGATCCTGCTCGAGAAGAGCATCTCCGTGCAGACCAATCTGGCCTCACCGGAGCCTTACCTCCACCCCTCACAGGTGAGGGGCACCGTGGTGAGCTCAGGGGTCCCCAGGCCCACCAGGCCCCTAGGCTGGCCCGAGAGCTTGGGGATGGTATGTGGGGTGGGGGGGTGGGCAGCAAGCCAGGCTCAGGTGTTTCTGGCATCTACAATGTTATTGTGGCACATAGTGGTCCTGGTGCCTGGCATCTCGAGGCCCTAAGCACACCAGTGGGCTGTGAGGACACAGCCGGCGAGCCTACCCCGAGGCTTCCACAGAGGGTGACTTGGGGCTCTTAGACAGGTTCTTCAGGTCACTTGGAGCTGCGGGCCTGCCCTGACTCCAGGCTACAGAAGCACAGAGGCCACAGCAGACTGGGAGGGCAGCCTCCCGACACTGTCCCTGGGCCCTGAAGAAAGGAGCAGCTGAGGCATCAGGCGCCCTGTAGTGGTTCTCGGAACCAGTCCCCAGGTGGGGGCTCCCCAGGCAGGAAGAGCTGCTAAAGAGGCCGGCCCGGGGAGTCCTGGGGTGTCGTAGCCACAGCTGGAGCCAGAGCAGAGGCCCACCTTGGCATGCTCCCCGGTGGTGCCAGGAGCAGGTGTGGTACAACCCCCTTGGCACCTACATGTGGCTCCGTCCAGCAGCTCAGCGCCCAAGCATCCGTGTCGAAGGTCCTCCCTCCTGGAGACCTCCAGGCCCCCAGGACTCCATGTGCTCTCATGCCCTTGTTTTCGCTTCCTGACCCTCAGTGATCACACCAGGCTGCTGCAGACACAGGAAGCCGAAGCCGAGGGTAGGCTTGGTGTCTACTGGGTCCGGCTAGTGGCCTGAGGGTCAGGGCGGGTGGAATAAGAATCCAAAGGGCCTCCTAGAGTGGAGACAGCCTGCCTCGAAAGCTGCCACGTAGCCTTAGTGACCCTCCAGGTTACATAGCTCAGAGCAGCCTCCAGTCAGTGTTTCCGTCCACTGCTTGTGACATGGGAAGAGGACAGGACAGAGAGGCTCGGGCTGCACAGGTCAAGGTCCCCCAAGAGCAACACAGAGAGGGAGGGTCCTCCTGGAGGACCAGCTCCCAGGGTAAAGGTAGAAAGAAGGGCCTCGGGGTCACATGGATGCTAGGAGAAGTGGGATTGGGAATTAGACACTGGCCTTACACAGTGTGAGTTGCCACTTTCTGTCCCTATAGGAGGACGCTAGCACTTCCTTAGGCAGCAGCATGATGATCAGCCCCAGCCTAGGGATGAATCCGCATGCCTTCCTCCCCCCTGCCATCAGCCGGGTCACTGGGCTCCCTGACAGCATGGCTGTTCTGGCTGCTCTGCCTCACCAGGCCCCTCTTGGACCTTCCACCTCAGGCAGCCTTGTGGTGAGCAGGGCAGCCTCTCACCTGGCTGGGTCAGGTGGGGCCCCCAGCACACACTTCTGGGACTATGGTCGAGGTGGGCCAGCTGCCCGGCCCACTCTCAGCCCCTAATGGCTCAGCCCCATTTGTCCTTCTCAGTCTGAGGACCTCGGTGCCTGTGCCCAGTTTGAGAGCAGCCGGCAGAGCCGCAGTGTGATGCCCAGCTCCAGCTGCGTCTTCCCCACCTTCACGCTGCGCAAGCCCTCCTCGGAGACAGACATTGAGAACTGGGCCTCCAAGCACTTCAACAAGCACACCCAGGGCCTCTTCCGGCGGAAGGTGTCCATCGCCAACATGCTAGCCTGGAGCAGCGAGTCCATCAAGAAGCCCATGATCGTGACCAGCGACCGGCATGTGAAAAAGGAGGCCTGCGAGCTCTTTAAGCTGATCCAGATGTACATGGGCGACCGGCGGGCCAAGGCGGACCCACTGCACGTGGCCCTGGAGGTCGTCACCAAGGGCTGGAGCGTGCAGGGCCTGCGGGACGAGCTCTACATCCAGCTGTGCCGGCAGACCACTGAGAACTTCCGCCTTGAGAGCCTGGCCCGTGGGTGGGAGCTCATGGCCATTTGCCTGGCCTTCTTCCCACCCACGCCCAAGTTCCACTCCTACCTGGAGGGCTACATCTACCGGCACATGGATCCCGTCAACGACACCAAAGGTAAGGCCCAGTGTGCAGGACCCTCGGCACCTCCAGGCTCTGCTGCTAGCTCAGGTAAGGACTGTGGAAGGATCCTGGTCTGTGCCAGGCAGCACCTGGACAGGTCCCAGCAGCCCCAACAGGGCCTGCCACACAGGAGTGCCACCTCTGAGAGGATGCACGTCTCCTGAAAAACCCCACACCTGGGTTTCTGCTGGGACTTGGGCATTGTCAGGGGCCCTGAGAAGAGCCCCAGGCCGTCCTGGCAGAGACAAGGACATGGGCCTCAGTGTCTCGGCCAGCCAGTGTCCACTCTGCTCCAAGCCCACCATGGCTAGTCAACCTCTCTGATGCGGACAGGGCAGCAGTGGTCAGGCCCCTGTGTGCTTGCCGCACTTGCTTTCTGCTCCCGCAGCTTAGGGGTAGTGACCACGCCGGTGAGACTTAGGCTGTCTGGGTCTGGATGGGGCATCCCAGCAGAAAGCTCCTGTGAGCAGGTCGAATGTGATGATGGGCTTGTCGTGTTCAGGTCTAGCGAGACCTGAGCTGCCCCAGGGGTCAGAAGTTAGGGCCAGCACAGGTACCCACTTGCTTATAGCTGCCCAGGGCCATGCAGGAGGCCAGATAGTGCCTGGGGCTCCCATAGCTGATGTTCTGGGTCTGTCTGGGCCTGGACCATGGTCCTGTCAGCCAGGCAGCTCCTATGCAGCTAACCTAGTAGCCAGACTGAGCCCCTGGCTGGGCACAGTGAGCACAGGGCAGGCCCACAGGCAGCTCCGTGTCTGTGGCAGGTCATCCACCCCAATGTCATGGGCATGTACAGGCCACAGCCAAGGAACCAACACCCAGACATATGTGCACACATGCACACACACATGCACGCCCTCAGGTCAGACATGCACAGACTGCTCTGCTGCAATGAGAGTCCACCCTTGCCAGGACTTTGCCTCTGCAGAGATTGAGCCCCTGGTCAGGGCCTTGCCCCTAGCCCAGATGCTGGGGGAAGTGGCTGCCCCACTGCTGTGGGGCCAGGGTGTGGGCTCACAAAGGTGGGGTGGAGGCTACAGGGCTGTGGCAGGTCCTGGAGACAGTGCGTCAGGCATAGGCACCATCCAGCACACCAGCTGTTTGTGAGAGATTTTGGAAGCCATGCATTTGTGCCCCAGGTATGTGCTTTTCAACACAAGGTCACAGCAGAGGCAGTGTCTGGCTGTGGAGGACCTGCACAGAGTAGCAGAGCCAGGTGCTGAGCATCCTGCGTCTGGCCCTGTGGGCTGTAGTGGGGTCTTGGCGAACTCCAGGCCTTGGTCTTCTTGGACCTTTCTAGAAGCAGGTGGAGTCCTAGGGCTATGTTCCTGTTGGCATCATGGTTCACCTTCTCAGCCTCTTCCAGAGGGGCCCTGAAATGTTGCACCTTGAGATGGAGGCTGTGGAAATGTGTCTCCACTGCTCAGCACAGCACTCAGCCCAAAGTGGGCACCCTGAGAGTAAGAAAGTGAGTAGTTAAGGCTGCTGACCAGCAGATGTGTGGCTGGACCATACTCCCTGGCTGGGACTTCTTAGGGGAGTTTGTGTTCCAGGCCACATTTTGGGGGGACCCCAAGACATTGCCCTCCACACAGAGGTTTGTGTGCCTTTGTCCTGGTATCTTATACCCATGGGGTCCTGGGTGGCGTGTACAGGGGAATCAGGGCTCAGCCTTGGCAGCCATGGCTTCAAAGACCCCCCGTAAGGCACATGAGGTCTCAGAGCACCATATGGGCCAGGGCCTCGGGGTCTGGGGCTCTGTGTGGTCCCACCTGCCTGGCCTGGATGGCCTACATCCAGGCTGCAGCACTGGGGCACCCTCACAGCTAGAACCCAGTCTGCAGCCACAAGATCCACTTCTAGGTTCATCTGTCAGAGGCCCTGCTTGCCCTGAATCCAGACTAGAGGCCTCTACATACAAGGTGGTCATCCCTTCTGAGATGGGCCTCACACTCCTTCCACCCAGGCCCCTGTCCCTGGTAGGCACCACTTTTCACATGCAAGTAACATTGGTCAGAAAAACAGGCCCAATCAACCCAGGAAGATGTAGCCTGTGCCCTGGAGGCCTTAGAAAAAGAAAACTGCAGCCCACAGGGACAGGGCACCTGTCTGTGGACAAATGATGAGAGGCAGAACTGAGCCTGGCTCCCATGCCTGGTGCATTGCCCTCAACCACCTGCTTGCCTCAGCCTCAGGAACCTCTGATTTGACTCATCCACCAGCATCTGTGTGACCTCCACCGTGTGGTCACCACCCCCAGGGACCAAGGCATGGTGAGGTGAGCCCCAGCTCAGCCTGTCTCATGTGTGGCTGCACCATTTTGCCAGGCACCATCTGGGGGTCTCCTGGTTTGTGCCCAGGACCTCCCTCAACAGGCCCTTGACAGAGACATGGAGGCACACTTGGTGGATACAACAGACTTCACTCTCCCACCTGTTCCACAAAGGTAGAACCTGTTCTACTACTATATGAGCACTTTGGAAGGCTGCAGACCCTGAGGGCTTTTACACACTGCTCAGCTACATGCATTCAACAAGACTTCCTGGCATCCAGTTCCTGACAACAGATTGAACATGCACATTTGCCATTTGCTTCGACTCTGCCTTGAACTCTTGCAAAAAAAAAAAAACAGTGAAGATTTAAAACAAAGAAAGGTGACTATAAATAAAATTAAAAAAAAACAAAAACAAAAACAATAGTGAAGGAATCTTTAGAAGGCTAAAAAAAACCCCACAAAGCAATGTTAAATGGTACAGCTGCTATGGAAAATAGTATGGTGATTCCTCAAATAATTAAAAATAGAGGCTGAACGCGGTGGTTCACGTCTATAATCCCAGCACCATGGGAGGCCGAGGTGGGAGGATCACTTGAGCTCAGGAGTTCAAGACCAGCCTGAGCAAGAGCGAGACCCTGCCTCTACTAAAAATAGAAAAAATTAGCCAGACATGGTGGCGAGTGCCGGTAGTCCCAGCTACTCGGGAGGCTGAGGCAGGAGGATTGCTTAAGCCCAGGGGTCTGAGGTTGCTGTGAGCTAGGCTGATGCCATTGCACTCTAAGCTCAGGCAACAAAGCAAGACTGTGTCTCAAGAAAAAAAAAAAAAAATTCTACTTCTGGGTCTGTACCCAAAAGAAATGAAAGCAAGGATTGTAGCAGATATTTGTACACCCATGTTCATAACACATTATCCACAGTAGCTAAAAGGTGGAAACAACCCATGTGTCCATCAGCAGATGAATGGATAAACAAAAAGTATATGCCAAGTAGTATATACATAAAGTGGAAAATTATTCAGCCTTAAAAAGGAAATTCTGACACATTCTACAACATGGATAAACCTTGAGAATATTATGCTGGTGAAAGAAGCCAGTCACCGAAGGACAAAGACTGTGATTCTACTTCTGTGAGGTCCCTGGGGTAGTCAAATTCACAGGGACAGAAAGTAGAAAGGTGGATGTCAGGGGCTGGGTGTAGGGAGAAATGGGGAGTTAGTGTTTAATGGGTACAGAGGTTTAGTTTGGGATGATTACAAAGTTCTGGAGATAGATGGTGATGATGGTTTGCACAACCATGTGAATGTACTTAATGCCACTGAACTGTACACTTAAAAATGGTAAATTCTATGTTATGTGTATTTTACCACTATTAAAAAAACCCACAAAGACAAAATAGGAAAGGAAGAATAACTGATTTGGAAGCTGGAAGCATATGGACAAGTGGCAGGAAACTGACATGGCAGACCAGAAAAGTGGGTCCTAAGCAGACAGTAGGAAATCCGAGAAGCTGAAGCAGGTAGCAAATCCTTAAAAGCTCAAAAGTAGGTACAGCCAGATTGTTCTAGCAATGGGGGAAGGGAGGTCCCTAAAGTTAAAAACAAAAGGATCGGTTGAAAGTTTGTTTAAGAAACAAAATAGCTACAGTGGGTAAGAATATATATTCTGAGTCCAGACTGGACTCAAATCCCAGCTACACTATCAAGATAGGCCATATTCAGGGCCATGAAACAATTTGCAGTAAATGTTAAGGAATGTAAATCATAGAAAGTGTGTTCTCCAGCCACAATAGAATTAAATTAGACATCAGTAACACAAAGATACCTGGAAAATTCCTGAGTATTTAGAAACTAAAGAACATATTACTGAATAACCTATTTATTTGTCGAATAAAAATCAAAAGGGAAATTAGTATTTTGAAGTAAAAGAAAATGAAAACAAAACATATTAAAATTTGTAGGATGATGCAGCCAAAGCAATTCTTAGAGGGAATGTTATAGCATAGCACCTAAATGCCTGTATTAGAAAAGAAGATCTCAAATCAGTGACCTCAGCTGCTTCTTTAAGAAACTTTTTTTAAAAAGAGTCAATTAGCTCTCTGGGAGGCTGAGGCAGGCAGATTGTTTGAGCTCAGGAGTTCGAAACCAGCCTGAGCAAGAGTGAGATCCTGTCTCTAGTAAAAATAGAAAGAAATTAATTGGGCAACTAAAAATATATAGAAAAAATTAGCCAGGCATGGTGGTGTATGCCTGTAGTCCCAGCTACTTGGGAGGCTGAGGCAGAAGGATCACTTGAGCGCAGCAGTTTGAGGTTGCTGTGAGCTAGGCTGATGCCACGGCACTCTAGCTCGGGCAACACAGTGAGACTCTGTCTCAAAAAATAAAAAAAATAAATAAAAAATAAAAGAGTCAATTATACCAAAAGTGAGCAGAAGAAAGGAAATAATGAAGATTATAGTAGAAATCGAATGAAAAGGAAAACAAAGACAAAAGAGAAAATCAGTGAAATAAAAAGCTGATTCTTGCAGAAGATTGATAAAATTGATAAACCTCAGCCAGACTGATCATGACAAAAAGAGTGTGGTACAGTGGTATGCACCTGTGGTCTCAGCTACTCTGGAGGCTGAGGTGGAAGGATTGCTTGAGCCCAGAAGTTCATGACCAGCCTGGACAATATAGCAAGATCTCAACTCAAAAAACAAACAAAAGGAATGAGAACTTATATCACTACAGATTCTACAGATGTTAAAAGGATAAGGACATACTATGAACTTAATACCAGTAAATTTGTAAATTTAGAGGAAATGGAAAAATTCCTTGAAACATATAAACTACCAAGCATCATTTAATAAGAAATGATCTGAAATAATGTATAAAGTCATATATCCGTTAAAGAAATTGAATTTGTACTTAAAAACCTTCCTACAGGCCGGGCGCGGTGGCCCACGCCTGTAATCCTAGCACTCTGGGAGGCTAAGGCGGGCGGATTGTTTAAGCTCAGGAGTTCGAAACCAGCCTGAGCAAGAGCGAGACCTCGTCTCTACTAAAAAAATAGAAAGAAATTAATCGGACAACTAAAAATATATAGAAAAAATTAGCCAGGCATGGTGGCGCATGCCTGTAGTCCCAGCTACTCGGGAGGCTGAGACAGGAGGATTGCTTGAGCCCAGGAGTTTGAGGTTGCTGTGAGCTGGGCTGACGCCATGGCACTCACTCTAGCCCGGGCAAAAGAGTGAGACTCTGTCTCAAAAAAAAAAAAAACCTTCCTACAAAGAAAATTCCAGGCCCAAATGGCTTCACTAGTGAATTCTACCAAACATTTAATTGTTTGTATAGCAATTCTACATAATCTTTCAGAAAATTGAAGTAGACTATTTCCTAATTCATTCTATACTAAAATTAGAAAAGGACATTAGAAAAAAGAAAGTATCCGTCATGAACATAGACGCAAAAATTCCTAACAATATTTTAGCAAGTTGAACCCAGAAATATATAAAAGGGATAATGCATCTTGACTAAGTAGAGTTTATCCAAGGAATACATGGTTGGTATAATGTTAAAAAATCAGTCAATATAAATCACCGTATCAACAAAGTAAAAAACATATCATCTCGACAGGCGTAGTAAAAGCATTTGACAAAATTGAACAGTCCGTTTTTTTTTTTTGTTTTTTTTTTTTTTAAGATACAGGGTCTCATTATGTTGCCCAGGTTAGAGTCAAACTCCTGGGATTAAGTGATTCTCTCACTCCAGCCTCCAGAGTAGTAGACTATAGGCATGTATGCCACCATGCCTGGCTAATATTCCATTCTTGATAAAAACAAACTAGGAATAGAAGAGAACC